CAAGGCCAAATAGCCCAGACAGCATGTTTGTCCCAAATCATGTATATATTTTTCCAAAACATAATCTCTAGAATTAGTGCTGGTAAAATCTCTACCACATTAGACTTGAGATTTTTTTTTCTTACTGAAAAGGAAGGACCACAACAGAAACTGCTAAAAGTAGGAAACAGGGAAAGAAGCTAAATCACAGGTGTAGTCTTATATCACCCCTTTTATTGCCATTTCTTCCAAATTACTATGTAGTCTCAATCATCACGGAACCAAATAAATACCCAACATATGGCTAAGACAGAGATCTCCTTGTTACTGGACATGTGCATGTCCAGTCACAGGAAGAACATGTCAGCAGCCTCTAGAGCCTCTAGTCTGGTAGCCTGACACACATGCACCACCTCCTATCCTGTGACAGGGAGAATTATCACATAAAAATCCTGTCATGAAAGCCACATCACATAAGGACAAGAAGGCTGCAACACAAGGTATCAAAGTCTCTGAGCTACTCAAAAGGTTAGCACTATGAAGCTAAAGCTATGACTATTAAGAAGACCCCCCCCCCCAAAAAAAAATACAGTTATGGAGTCAGAAGTATTGACAGTTTCACCACTGGATTTTTCTACCATCTTTTACTGAAGATGGTAGAACACCAGTGATTACCAACCTTCTGTTGTGGATTCCAAAAATCTTTATGAATCCAAAACCTCTAGTCAGATACCCAAGATGTATATTAGTGAGAAGAGTGAAGTGGAGCCCCAACACAGGGCCAGCGGAGTAGACAGCTCTTGCCTCCAAGCTGAAAGTTCATTATCAAAAGATGTAAAAGGGCGGACTACAGGCTGCGCACCCTCAGGTGATATGGCAACATTGGAAAACATTTAAATTAAATATTCATAACAACAGATTTACAGTAGACTAAAAACTCAAGCGCAAGGTCTAGAGAATTCCTTTAGGAATTCATCACCACTTATCACCACTCTGCATAGTGAAGCAAACCTGGAAATCTACCCAAACTGCATCATGTCTCCCACCACTACATGTTACCCATCCTCAGCTCTGGTCAGAGCACACTCCTTATAGAAGCGCTGGAAACATATCCTTCAGGGCACAACTCCATAACTTGCTCTTCCTGCATCTGCACAGTATCAAGTGGGTATAAAGTTGTCAGTACCCTTTTATCTTCTCTAGACTTCTTTTTCGTAGAAGGTCCATGGTAAGTCTCAACCTTAGTTGTTTTTAGTATTCTCAGTATAGTACAAGAACAATTATGTGAGGCAAAATACCATGTTGCTGTGAGGGTCCTAAGATATATGGGAAACACAATTTTATCCTGGTATTTCAAAACACTGCAAATGCCATGATGCAAACATTAAGCAGACGCAGAAAAATATGTATTATCCAGCCACCTTCTCACAAAAGCTGTACTCCTCTAGAAGCTGCTCCCATCAATTATTTCACCTAGAGACCAGACTGACCTTTTTCCCTGCCTTCATTTTCATCAACTTCATTTCTGATGGCATGACAGGACCAAAGCCAAAAGGACAGACTAATGCTAAAAGTATCCGTTTTTAATAGCTTCTTCATATATCCCATGGATGAAGGAATAAAACCCTGTCTTGAACACAGATGCAGCAGGCATGCCAATACATTATGTAAAACACAGCAAATAATTTATAACTTCCTGAGAGCAACTCATTTTAAGTTACACTACCAGTGTAATGGCACAGCTTAAAAGATGGATTTCAGTGTGCAAAACCTGATCTGCATAGTAGGTTGATTGTAGAATCAAAAGGAAAACGGCTTAAAATAAAATCCTCCATCACCTAAAAAACTATTCTTCTTGCATAAACCTTGCCTGCTGACATATTTTATTCACTGAAAGTTTTCAGGCTCCATAAGCATGCATGCTGAGATTTTAAAATACAAACTTATTTCATTACAAGTGATGCTAATACATATATATATATATGGAGATATTTCATCGTTACATTTCAATCAAAGTTCAATGTGGTTTATTTTCATCCTTCACTAACAATATTTATGGAGCATGCAAGAGTGTATTTCTCTCTAGAATAGTGCCAGACTTACTGGTGTGGTAAACAGCCTGACATGCAGTTTTTTCACCTGAACCAAACTGTGCCAAAAGTTATTTGGGACATGTAATTTAATACCAAACACATGCACAAAGTTATATTGCAGCAGATTCCTTCTGACTACTGTCAGTGTGAGTACTTCTGAATGAATAAACTTTTATTTCTCACCAGAAAACTGTCAAAATAACAAAATAAAAATGTACTAAAAGAGCAAAACCTGAGAATGCTATTAAGTCTTGAATCAAGTTCATAGCAGATGCAAAGCTATATTTCCTTTCCTTAAACAAGTTCTAGATTAAAGTCCACAGCTTACATATTTATAATATGCCTCTTTAAATTAGGATTACATTTGCAGGCAGATTATCAGACTTCAATTTAATCAGTGAAACAAAAAAATGTTTAGCTTAAATTCATCTGGATGAATTTAACACATTGAATTTTACATTCAATTGTTGAATAAACTTTTTTAAACTCTGCACCAGGAAGACACTGCAAATGAACTTTGCCATACCAAACATATCCCTTGCACTAATAGTTCTTTTTATAACTTAGCACTGTAATAGTCATGTCTAAAACTTTTCAGTTTTTTTGGTAAATCAAGTACATTATTTATAATTTTACTTTTGTTCCTTAGACTTAATAGAAAAAACACTCTGAATAATTAAACCTGATATCGAATGCATTTGACAGCTTGCAATTTGGCTTCTTTAAGACCATTTACTATTTACATTCTACAAGAAATCATATCATCTAAAACTTTTAAATGAGAGGCTGCTCCTTCTGGACTAGTAATGTAATTTATTACATTGCTAACTACTATTAAGGGTACACCTTTGGGATATAGGTATGGTCTATGTTTTTTTGGTTGGTTTTTTGGGGTTTTTTTTCCCTTCAGGAACTTATGCAAGGCCCTTGTCCAGGTCATCCAAATTGAAAGAAATAGATCCCTTGTGAGCCCACCGCTTTAGCTACTGAACTAAAGTGAGATACAATGTAAGTTTACCTTGGGTAAAACTTTATCAACAGCAAGTATGTGGCAGTAGATGGATGTTATTTTTCCGGAAGGAAATGTTGTTATTAACTTTTCTTTAAATGTTACAGAAGCAAAATCTGCATTTGACTTACCTAGGAACTAAAGAATCGCTAAAGTGGAAATACACGTAACATGATTTGTTATTAATTATATTCTGTGATAACAATAGGCAAATGCCTATCGATCTCCTATCTCCAGCATTTTCCTGTAAGAAAATTTGGATGCAGGATAATAGTAACTATGAGCACAGTCTTCTCTGACAAGAAACAACAATATATTCAAGTCTCTTCAGTACAACAGTAGTGTTTAATGGTTACTCAACATAGGGGATTTCTGTCAAAAAATAGCAATAATGATATTAATAATAATAACAACAACCACCACACATAGATTCATACTAAACATCTTTCCAAGAACCTTACAGCCTGGTTGCCATTCAATTATTGATTTTGCAGTCTATTCTGCATACAGAGGAGGAAAACCATAAATTTTTAACACATCAAAGTGTAATGTCTAACATGAAATATATAGGCTATGGTAACACGACTGACTTAATGACTTTAATTTCAATAAAACCACTTTTAAAAGGTAAAGATCAGAAAGAATTTAGTGATAGTTTTAGGGGTTTTTAATTTTTGTACTGCTGAGAAGGAACAAAAACACAACAAAGATAAAAACTACAAATCAAATATTTCACATTTGCCATACACTTTTCAAATTCTCAAAGTTCTGTTAAAAATCTCCTATTCCATTTGAATCACAAAGGGAATAATTCCCTACACATCAAGCTGGACTGTCAAGTAAATGTATTTCAGTGCTCTTCAGCCTTATTTAGTAATTTGTTTTCCTTTCACTCTGATGTACTGTAATGTACTAATCAATAAATTCCTGGACTTAGTATGCACTCAAAATTAATGGCCGAGTTCCCATACAGGAGATTTGGCTTGATGTTTATTTCAATCAACACCCACCCCCCACCCCTACCCCCAAAAAACCCAAACAAAACAGTCTTTACAATAAGTCTTGGAAGTAAACACTCCAAAGATATGTTTTGTCCCCCCAGTTCTTTAATACATAGAAAATGCTAATATGCATATTTTTATTCTAATCTCAGTCATTTCTTAAACCATTAATAGCATCGGTATTCATTTACACTATATTCAGATCCCACATTTATTCGCTTTATATTCTTATTCTATTGCTTTAATACTTAGATCAGAATATTTAAATTGGTACAAATAATAAAATTATTCTAAAAACTTTTTCCTGGTTATTTTTCCAACCAAATAAATGCACTAGAGAAACAATGCAATTAACAGCTCTTCATGGATTTAAAACCCAGAAAAATAAAAACTTCAAAGCTCCCTAAAAGTCAAAGGCACATACTGAGCAGATCTTTCTAAAAAACAAAATCCCAAAACCCCTACAAAAGAAACCATATAAACATACAGCCTGCATGAGTGATTTGCATAGGTTTATTAATTTATTAGGCTATTTTATAGGTTTATTATTGGCATTTTTATGTATAAAGTCTGTGTCAAAGATTATTAATCCAAAATAATTTTAAAAGCCCATACTGCTGGCATACAGCTGTCCTTCTGGAATAAACCAAGTGGACCGACTTATAATTTACATGAAATAGTCATCAGCAATCTTTCCCAGTTTTCAAAGATTTTATATAAGCTGCACAACATGTTCAGTGCCAGATATATTTGTCACCAACTTGCACTGCTATTCTCCTGCAGAAAAAACATAATTCCTCTGTACCTTACATACTGTTTTTTTGTTTTAAATACTGACCTCTACTAATTTCATCATCTTTTAAGCAATTTTTACAGAGTAATAACCTAGATCTGGTGAAAAAGTAAAGAGCTTCTTACCATCCTGATCCAATATTCTCCCCGTCTCTGGAGTTCAGCAGCAAGGAGCTGTTGCTGTTGCACTGCTTACTAGAGACACTGGAGGCTTTGGAAGCAGAGAATGTTTTATGTGGTTAAAATGTATCACCACTGATTATATATCAGTCCCTCAATTCCTAGCCTTGATGCTCTGGAAATCAGCCAATCCAAGTGATAAAGAGGTTTGCAACAAGAATTTGCAGAATTTCCACAGTGAATGCTTCATTGAAATGCTTTGCTTCTTGATACTTGTTTTTTTATATCCACTAAATGTTAAAATAAATCCTGGCTCCCTTTTCCCTCCTCCTCTTTTTTTTTTTTTTTTTTTTTTCCCAAAATGAGATTCATATATTGTTCAAAAGGGACTTTGGCACTTGCTATAGCTAGGCACAGTGCAGAAAGGCATCATGCCAGATTATGCACACATCTCAGCCAAGATACCTGAATTTTGACTTGCAACACACCCTGTTATTCCAAACATGGATCTGCCTAAGCCAAAGCTCCTAACTGCCAAAATACACAGTGTTTTTGTGAGGCAGCCAAATGCCCCTTCAGATTAGCTAAGAGCATCTTTTATTTGCAATGTGGTTGCTCTTTGTTGGCTTTTCTTTCTTCTTTTTTTTTTTTTTTTAATTTTTTTTAACACTTTTTTCCCTAGGGAAGACAAGGTGACAAGTTCCAAAGGGATGACATGATCAGCTGGCACTTCTACTACTGCCACTCCTCTCAAGAAATTTCACACAGCAAATTTCACAGCAAATTTCCCTGCAATGTTATAACTATGACTAATTACTTAGTTAACATTATGACCATCTTAATGTTCTCAATGGTAGCTCAGGATGCTTCTGTGTTTGGTGCGATAAAACAAAACAAAACAAAACAAAAAAAGACAAAACAAAACCAAAGCAAACAAACAAAAACACTCCCACAAATACCCAAAAACTAACAAAGTCCTGACTCCATGGACCTTGCAATCCAGTAACACAGTAAGAGGTGACAAAGAGGGAGGCAAAAGGAACCAAGTCATATTCCAATTTCCAAGCTTTTTGGGCCTCACAGTAAAGGGGTTTTAAAGAAAGGATTACCAAGAGGCTATGCAGACTACCTTGGAGATGCTCTCAAGAAGAAAGTATAATAGAAAGCATATTAAATCTCAAGAAGAAAGCACATTATTGTACTAAGAGAGCATAAGACCAAGCCTGACATTTTAATGAATAACGGAAAAGGACGGAGTGATGCTTCTGTAGTAACTGAGGTCTAGAAAAGTGAAGACCATATTCTGTACACGGAGGGAAAATAAATTCAGAAGAGATGGCTGTAGGTTTCTTCTATTCTGTTTGCAAAAGGAAACAATAATGACTTTCACTAAATCCGAATGGGTATGAAAGTGCACGACTGACCTGAAGAATGCAAGGAAAAGGATGCAGGACTAATTGGCAAGCTTGTTTAACAGGTGAAGAAGAGCTGGATTGAAGATTAGAATGTTTGCTGAAACATCAATGAACTGACTTCAAGAAATTATGTAAAAAATAAGATTTAGTCATCAATAACACTGACAGTGTCGTTTCTGAATTTAGAGAAAGAACAAAGTAATAGATGACATGTGTTATGACCACCATGGCAAGATTAGGTTGTTTCCTAGAGTGACAAGGAAGCAGCAGGAGGGGAGTCTGCAGGAGACCTGTTTTAGCCATGTTGAGCTGTTGACATCTAGCTCAATGGCCACAAGAATCTCTCTTTATTCCAGACCCTTCTTCTTCAGCCAGAGCTAAAAAAACTCATTTGCAAGGCATAATAGCAAAGACAAGTTTGACTTGTATTTACAGATGAGCGTGTCTGATGTAAATAAAAGGTCCACAGTTCCATCCCTAAGAAAAATAGCAAGATGAAGTGGAAAGAGGAAAGTGGAAAGGCCGATTAAGAAGATAGAAGGGTAAAAAAATAAGCAAACCAGGTTCTTCTATGAAACCAAGAGAGACAAAATTTCAGGAAGAAAAATGGACAGCAGTACACAAGATAACTTTCAGGACAAAGAAAATCAGTAGACAGCCCTAGTTTGATTGTTTGATCAGAAAGGTGTCTACAGATACTTTGTCTTGAGCAACATCAGCAGCATGGAAGGAGCAGAAGATGCACTGACTGGTCAGTGCCCAGTGCCACACCAGAACCCTGGCAGTGTCCATAAACAACTCATGCACTTGTATTAGTCACACTGCTAATGGGATTCCCATCAGAGAGGTCCCACATGTAACATCACTGAGACCCAAGAGAGAATTCTGTGAAACAATTCAATTGCAATCAGTCAGGCTACCAAGGTCTTGATCTTTTTAGAAGTAAAACTTTTCCATCACAAAGTTTTCAGTCATCTTACTAGTCCACACAAACATTTCCTGTAATTCTTGAAATTTATGAAACCCTTTTGATACCTCACAAAGGTATCTGCTGGGATAATGATCAGATGCCAAATATGAAGACATGAAGCCAAATTGTGCTCCTGCATGTTTCTACACCAAATGTGTATAAGACAGGATAATATGGCCCTATGCATACATACAAACAGTTTCCAACTCTGCCTTTCAGTCCATAAAGCCAGAATACTTCCATTTTTTTTACTGAAAAGTAATTCAATTACTTAATGCTACAAATTTCAGAATTAATTCTGTCACAGTCTTCTCACATTTAAAATATGCACCTCCCAAATTCAAGCACAAATATCGCCTCCTAAATTCAACTAAAAGACATTTCTATACAGAGTAACTGCTATTATGCACCTATACAGGCAGAAAAAAAAAATAAGTTGACTAACTTACTTCAGCATTAGCACACGTGCTTCAAAACAAAGCCACCTTTTCCATTTACTTTGAATTCCTTCTAACACAGAAAAAGAAGTGCCCACCAAGGGAAAGAATTATGCACTTATGTAACTGAAAAAATTTAATGTGAACTCCAACTTCTAGATCTATAAGCCTTAAAGATGAATTTTTTTTCATCCCTTCAATTCTTCAAGGATCCACAAGCAATGGGAGATTAAATTTTCCAGACAGGTCCAGAATTTCTCCTTTTTATGAGGAAACCAATTTCGTCCCAAGTTTGAGTTAAAACCTAAAATTTGATCCTTGCTAACTGGTTACAACCCTATTGCCAGACTTTACCCCTCTGGGCATATTAACTGCCACCATAAGCTCCATGCTGCAGAGGCTACTTCAAAAATAAAAATAAAGCTGTCAAAGGCATCTGATAACATTCTTTAGGCCCCTGTAGAAATATAGTTATCAGGCCACATAATTTAAATATTTAATTAGACAATATATAGATGCCCTTGAATGCTCTAAATGATCAAGGAATGCATAACAAAACTGAAAAAAAATAAGTTGGATTAAAAGTAATCTATCTTTTGTGATGAAAATAGGTTAGATATGGCAATACAAATTATTTCACAAGTGTTCTTTGCAACACGTAATCATTCAGACAAGAACCCCCAATCTGCAACAACTGGGTTGTACTGACTGGTACCAAACATAAAGCAACTGATCAAAGAACTGAATTTTTTCCCTGAAAGAATTTATTTTATTTTGGCATTTGACTGGGGAGAAGAGTTTAAAAAAAATCAATTTTTCATTAAGTGAAAAATCTTTAAAAATCTAAATGCAGAATTGTTGAATCATTTTGGATTTTCTTTAGATGTCACAAAGCCTTAGGGACACATAATTATGGCTCTCTTGGGACACTCTGTCTGTCAAAAATTGTCCCTAGACTTATGAAGCACTGTGTCTCCCCACAAGTTGTAAAAAATAATGAAAGTATCTATGAAATATTTGTTTCAAATAGATAAAAATAAACCACAGCTTGATAAGCAGTAAGACAAAAACATGTAATATTATTTGGCATCACAGAATTAAGACAAACAAGATTATATATGTCTGCAGGAATTCTAAAAGTTAGTAAACCAAAATAGATACAAAACCTGAAAGACACCTAGACAAAACATGAAATTTATCAATAAAATACTTCGATTTTTTCTTTTTTTTTTTGCTGAGAAGAGGTATGTCAAAAGTGCACTCTGAATGTAAATTGATAAAATGCTGTAGTTCTATGGGCTAAAGAAGTCAACTGAACACAAGAATTCTCCATTCCTTCAAAAATCTAACTAGAACAGGAACTCCAAAACCAAATGACACAACTATAAATACCAGTATCAGCTCTTCATTGTTCATCAGTTTCATTAGCAACATGGACAAGCAACAGGATTTGCAGGAAAAAGATAAGTCATAGGAAAGAAAGAGAAAGCAGAAAGATGAAATAAGAGAGCAGGCAGAGGTGGGGTAGGTGCAGAGAGGGGCAGAACTTCACAGCGTCTCAATCTGGTCCATCTTCAGGACTTGCTGGATCTATAAATAAATACCTAACACAAAAAACAACCAACAACATCAAAAATCAAAGACTGATGTCCCCACCTAGTCTATTACTCTTCCACAAACAGCACTATTTCACCTTGCAAGAAGCTTTACCAAAATCTCAGATATAAGCTACATCCTGAAATCACTCACTCACAATTCAAATACTAATATCAATTAAATTTTCCAGTGGTAAAATCCTATTTTTCAAGATGGCTTATAGAAGCACAGCCTCAAATACTTCAAATAATGTTCTGAAGCAGAAAGAAGATTAGGACATTCTACTGGTCTTGCAGGAAAGAAAACTTTTATACAAAATTCTGCTTGTAGAGATCTGGACCTCACACAGCAGGAATGTAATTTCAAATCAGCAGAAACACATTCAGATCTTATGAAATTGGTACAGCATCTAGAGAACAGAAGAGGCTCCTTACCAATTAAAACTCTGCTCAAGCAGTAACCAAAGATTGAAACAAGGCCCTGGATGTTTAACATTACCCAGCCCTAACTTGATGTGCCAGCTCACAGATCGTAACTGGAGCAGGTGGCAGCTATTTAAATGGGCCGTTTCAATACAGAGGATGATGGGTTGTCATTGCCATCAAGCACAAACACTGCTTACATGTTTGAAAGAAATCTTTTCCCTTTATTTTTGAGGAGCTGAAAGTGTGAG